AAGATTTACTTGAACATGTTGAATTCGTCAATGTTAACAAACTTGTTCAACTTGTCATGTGTGCACAAACAGTTATATATGCCGGGTGCCTAAAGTAGAATTAATTATGATTGACGGAAGCCGATCATCGAAAAGGAATTTTCTTTCTGAGTACATAAACCCGATAATTTTGGATAAAGAGAAAAACTCGTTATTTGTCCAATGGTAGTTATACTGGGGATTAAACCTGCGGAATTCTGAACTATGAGAGTTTTAGTGCCTTGTAGCATGTAATACACAGCAAATCATGTGTTTTAAACACTTTTGATGCAAAAAAGCAAACACCACTCATGTTAAATACATATCAATTTAATATTTTACAAATTTAAATAATGATAATTATACAGTTAAAGAAAAGGTTATGAAGGTCTTGTTCTTTCAATCCATACTAATTTTCAAATCTAAGAATTAAAAAGCTTGTCCACATAAAAAGGTAGAGAAATTAGAAACATACGATGTGTTATACTCTTCAAAAAAAGAAACGCATAGTTGGAAAAACGCCATGAAAATGTATGATAGTTTTGTCATATGTTTTATTTTTATATGGTTATGATGTATTCGAGTGAAATGCGTGATTTTTTAATGCAATTGTTAAGATTATAGCTATTCTACAAGTCTCACAGACAAAAAGACCTGATTTAGCAAAATTTCCTCCAAAATTTTGATCTCAATTTTCATTTGTTTAATTCTGATGCAACTCCTTCAGGTACAAAGGGGCTATCAAAAGCGGGGGTTCTCGATATTTTGAATCTGGTTTTATCTGAAAAATGACGCTTCCTAAAAATGCTGCATCTGAATGTTGCACAGCACAAAAAGGAAAACGGGCGACTGGAAGCAGTGGTACCACAATCTACAATTGCAAGAGGTTTTAATGTTACGCACAGCACCATATCTAACCTATAAAACATAAACCATTAATATCAAACACCCAATGTTTGCAAAATATTTGGTAGACTACGTGTGACATCAGCAGCACAGCATCACTTCAGAGGATTACGTAAATTGCATAAATGTAATGCATCTAAAGTATTAGATATCCGTGAACTGCACAGATCATCTAACAAGACCGCTTTCAGTTGACTACAAATTATTGCAAGAGGATTATTCATGCCATTGTTCTGACCCCACAACACCCCAATTATCGACTTCAAAGATCTCAGATCAATAGAGTATGACCACAGCATCACTGATGAACATTTTGGTTCAGCTACTAGTCCAGAATGTTCATCTAAAGGCTCTTATAAATTTCAGAGAGATAATGCTTTGTAATGAATGTTAGATAGATAACTGCCTACAGGACGTTAAAAAAAGTTGGTGGTGGTAGTGTAATGGTATGGAAAACGGTATTATAAGAAAATAAGATTGATTTGGTTCGAATTCAATAAACTTTGATGGAAAAGGGTACTCTAACCATGTTCTACCTACACATGCCCATGCAATTTTCCAGCATCCGAGAGCCGTATTGCAATCTCACAATACACAGCTACATACGGCTCGTTTGGCACTCCAATTCTTGCAAAGTAACAGCAACCTGTTTCTGCCATAGTCATCTAAATTGCCAGATTAAACCCAATTTAGCAACATTGGACAAAATGGTTTGAATTGATTTGCCAAAGACAATCGCATCCCCAGACTCTGCAACAGCTCACCAAAGCTGTACATTTGGAGAGGGAGAGTATTCCTATACAGTTTTTATAACACTCATTTGCTTCCATTAGATGCCGTCTGTGGCTATCATTTGTGTCTCCGGGGGGCATACCAGATATTGATCTTTGATGGCCTTAAACTGACTATATTTTTAGTATTGTTGAGTAATTATGACATTTAGATAGTATTCCTGTTGCGTACCACATTTCCGTTTTATCAGTGCATCATTTTACTAATTAATCATTATGTTTAATGTGTCACTAAAATTCTACTATGCGTTTCTTTTTTGAAGAGTATATATCGACGACGTATTGTCAATCAACAATGGCTATATCCATTCTTATATCTTAGAGTTTTCGAGACCAGGTCATCCAACAATCTGTTGGAATTCCCATGGGTACCATGCGACCTGTTATTAGCAGACCAATTTTTATATTCATTTCAAGCATAATCTGTCCAAAATCATAAATGCGAGAAAAAGAAAACACTTGCTGTGGCCTCAACTCGACATTTAAATATATCGACGACGTATTGTCAATCAACAATGGCTATATCCATTATTATGTCGTTAGGATATATCCTGGTAAGCTTGAGAAAAAGGATACAATATAGTAACACAAATCTACTTCATGTTCGGATATTTTTCTAGAAAAATCGTTTATCTTTTTTTCATATATCTTGTTTATATCTAAGTGTTGATTCGATTTGCAAGAGCATTGACTTTTGCGCTTGAATACTATTCGTAATCTCCATATGTTTCACGTTATTGACAAACAATTGATGGTGCAAAAATATCAAAAGTCACGTTTAAAGACATCATTTCACAAGTTTTATAAAACGAAGCACGCTTTGGAAAAATAATTGGTTTTAAAGACGTAATTTCACAATTTTCTATTATCAATGCAGTGACATTGTCAGCAAAAGAAAAATCTTTCATTAACTCATTTCTTGACTGACATTTTTCATACTAGATGTAAGGCCATTATTTACACACTGAAGTTTCTAAGCAAAACGGCAGGTGTGATCAGGCGGCAAAAAATGATCACTTTTCCATGGTATTTGTTGCTAACTTTGAAGGTTTTTTAGATCCGTACTTGCTCTTTATCTGATTTGTATTTTTTTTAAGGGTTTATTTTTTACTTTCACACAAATTACACAAATACAAAACAGACATATATGTAAATAAATATACAAGACAGTTTGAAATAAAGCAAAAACAAAAAAGAGGTATCAACCAAAATACGACCCAGTGATAAGTTATCTTTGCTCATAAGGCCATTATAACGACCATGAAATTTACGAAATGCTGACATTAAAAGATATTGTTGAAATCCCTGTTACATCAACATACCTGTCAGTAGCGTGCTCTGTTAAATAAAATCATCGTACTCAGGGCACGTTCTTGAGTTTCAAGTAAACTGGGAGCTGCAAACAACGTATGCAGGCAACAACGGAATATTATTACATTAATAAGGAAAGTTGAAGGTGAATAAAACTGATGTTATTTCTTTTGTCAAGTAATTAATTGGTCCAAGTCGTCTATTTATAGTCTGTATAACATCTTAATATGAAACAATTTCTGCAGACTCTGTAGTGTCTTTTACGTCGAATTCACTGAGATACTAGAGATAATGGAGGATGTAGACTGTATCGTCAAATATAGTGGAATGCAAGACTGGACTTATCATGATAAAGAAAAAATCTTAAGTTCTACAACATATACACTGTATTACTTTGTTGGCAAATTAATGTTGAAGGAACAGACGGGTTGAATTTTAATATTGCTTAAAGAGCCTAGGCTGGGCAACATCCAAAATCATGAACACTAGTACGTGTTCTTCAGTTGAAGATTCTAAGTGTGGATTTGTTTAAGATTCTGTAAAATTTCAAGGTAACGGAGTACATTTTAGTGGATTATGACACGTGCCTTATTGTTTACTGACGTACATGTGTGTTATAAATGAATAAAAAAAGACAACATCAATATTTTGTCTATTTGATTTTTTGATCATTCTTATACCTGCGTCTAGGTTTATTGTTTATAAAAATTGCCAGTCAATATCATGTCGGCACATTAGTAAAGAGAATGCAAGACAATTAAGCCTTTTAGAGGAGACTTTTTGAACAAAATACATGTACATGTATCTCGAAATATTCATCTAGTTTTTTGAATACAACAGGAATATGATATTTAAAGCTATAGTCATCAAATGCCTATAGATCAAAAGGTTTGAAATAAAATTAAAAAAACAGTCTGCTTAAATGACCAGCCAATGATAAGCAACATCAGTAAGTTTATGATGACACCGGTTGATCGACATATGCTTCAAATGACTCTTCAAAGAATCAAAAGTTAATAAAAACTGTATCATCAGCTGTGTTCCATAACTTAATCGGTAATCGATTATAGGTTATGAAAATTATATAACTATGAAAAGATTGGCGTAAGTGTTTCATTCGACATACAGAAGAAAAATGTGGAAGATCTTGGTTCTCCTAGCTGTGTTTCTTGTAATACAAGGTACTACAATTCTAATTTTCTTTTATATGAGAAATTCAAGAAAAGACAATCAAACTAGGTAAAACATGCATCTTGATAGTATCTTGATATCCTAAGAAATTTCTGCATATGTTATTTAATTACTTAATTTTTTTTTCATTTTAAGATACTGATGCTTGGCTCAGAGGAGGTGAGTGTTAATTATAATTTGAAATATTCATGGACGAAAATATGTATTTTTCAAAACCAGGTTATTTTTTAATTAATACTTTCTTTGATAAAAGATATCAGAATCTCAGACCAAAATATGTTGTATTCATTGCCGAAAATGACACGAGATACATTTTTTCTTACATATGGATTTTTAATTTTATGATTGAATTTAATGGACAGAAAACAAAGCATAAATGAGGAAAGTCGTTCTCTCCATCTAACAAATGAATTAAGAGTGGAGAATTTTTTTTTTGGGGGGGGTGTTCTATTATAATATAAATGTGAAAACCGTCTCCTAAATTAAAGGTATTTTATCACAATAACTATATTTATTAGATAATCTATCATTAGGGAGTATTTTGATTGCCATATTCATACAATGCTTTATTAATGTTTTATTATACAAAGGGCTAAAACCATAAACCATCATATTAGTATCTGTAACCTATGTTTTTCACAAAAATAAAGTTTCTATTCGTATGTGTGGCCAATATGAAATTTGACATTTAATTTTAATGGATCAAGGATTAACCAGATCTGTCAATCATTCGTTAAGATATGGTTCATATAACAACAAACACATTAACATTATACACTATATATGCCAGAAAAGTAGTCAGTAGTTCATTGAAAACGATATTTGTGGAGAGGCGTGATTTGGAATTGATATTATCTGAAGTCATCATCTTAAGAAACCTAATAATGATTTTTTACTTTTTTTCTTTCTAAAGTTCTAAATATTATTTTCGATTAATATTTCAAAGATAGCTATATATCCTTTTCTTAAATTTTTAAGCATTAAAAATGTTGTCAAAATTTCGAATTATATTAACGAGTACGAGTCTAATTATTTCTGTCCTAGGGATTTTGATATTTTTTGATAATCAATTTTCAATATTATAATTAATGTTTTAAGATTAAAAAATCGAATGTTTACCATCCCGATTTTTAAGGGGGCCATCTCAAAAGTTGTCAAATTTTACTAACTGATTATATATGGAAATTTGCTGGAAAAGCGCCAAATTATCACATTTCTTCCATATTTTTTGAATTTCTGCCCTAGAGATTTCCTTTCCATTCAAGTAGATGAATATTATTGTAAAAAGTCACCAACTGTGAAACTTAAGAATATTTCACCATTTAGGCTGATGTACGAAACTATTACTAAGTTTATTTTTTCAAAGTCAATACCTCTAAAATTCCCATATTACGGTATGAATAAGTATCAATGCGGATGAATTATCGGCGAATATGATTTTTTTCGGTAAAAAAAGGCAATGTTTAGATTGCTATACAAAGTATGTTTATTAAGATGTTCTGTCATCAGCTTGCATTTTTTAGTATAACATCCATGGACGTCTTGAACATACAAACGAGTCATGCGTCATTCTTCAGCGTCATGCATTGCTAACAAAATCCAAAAATGGTGACGTCGTTAGAGTCAATTCAGTGTTTTTTCCTAATTATTGTCGTAAAATCACATTTTCAGACAAGTAGGGGTTAAAGAAAATGTTAATTTTGTATTAAAATTAAAATATTTGGCAAAGGTGTACTATCGCACAAATGACTGCATGAAATTGAAAAGTCATGCGCACTCAAATTATATTTGGCCTCGTTAAATTGTATTTTTAGAAAGGCATCAGCAGAATACAAAAATAACGTTAATATAGCTTATTTTATATTATAAATGTCGCGTTAACGTTATCATAACGCGTTGTGTATTTGGGCAAATGATACAAAAAAAAATTATTTTAGTCGTATTGAACATGATATGCCATATGTAACCTTTCTAATAGACCTTCATATAAATTGACAAGTGAAACTGAGTATGTTGAGGCACCTGTCGGAGATAATGATGAACTAGCTCATAAGGGGACGACCGTTTGATTCGGAGGGGGGCTGGCAAATTTACTCGGAGATAACGATGAAATAGCACAAAACGGAAAGGGTGCTTACTGATTTCATATAAATACGAGGCCTAAAATAGATGAAGTGTAAATTTTATAAGTTTTGATGCATTTTTGAATTTGACTGTTTATAGTAGCTCGGAATTTGATTGTAGATTTTCAGCATGCAAAAATGACGTCACAATCACACTACTTCACAAATAGCGTGGAGTGTCAGGATAGTGACGAAGTTATGGTAGTATTTAAAGTTGGTGTACACAGTCTTAAATTAATTCCAATGATTTAATTGTTCTATTACATGAAGAATGAAAGGAACGTATTCCTTCGAGAGCATTAAAAAAATAGCTTTAATATTAATCATTTGATTTGACAGGGCGTCGTTATCAAGGTTTGAATAAAGAAAACCGGAGAGATATGATTCCGGGAAACTCGAGAGAACCTAATGCAGAAAACCGGAGAGATCAATATCCGGAATGGAATCCGAGAAGAGATATGAATCCCGGAAACTTGGGAAAACCTAATGCAGAAAACCGGAGAGGTCTATTTCCGGGAAGTTGGCTCCAAATGCAGAAATCCAGAGAGATCTGAATGCGGAAAACTGAAGACATGACAAATGAAAAATGTGAAATAACTAAGCAGTTTCAAGTCTGAAATTGTATTCTTAGTGTATTTTATTAAAGCAAATGATAAAAACATTTTGATTCAGTTTTTTTTATATAAAATATTGGGCAAGAGTGCAATATAATTATCTCATTGCTCTAGATTCAGTTATTACGAAGATCCTTTTTAACCCCCTCCCCGCAGTAACCCTTTTTAACGCATATACCATTTCCCTTTTCTAACGCAAAAGCACGCATATACCGGTATCGTTTCCCTGCAATCACGCATTTTCACGCACTATTAAAAGATCATTTAATCTTTAATTTATTGCCAGATTCTTTCTATTTCATGCCATCTTAAAACTCATAAAATAAGAAAAGTTATTTTCTTATTAAAATATTAAGTCATAGTATTATTTACGCTTAACTTTAGAGAAACTTGTATCACACTATATGGCACTCGCGCGGAAATGATAACGTTATATTTCTATGACGTGAACATTAAGTGTTTGTTGCGTCACAGATCAGTAAGTTGTAAAGAGTTAAGCTATATATTTGAAATCCAGCTCAAGATATTGAAAGCGTTTTTTTTTTTTTTTTTTTTTTTTTGCTTTAAATTTGACTTTAAAACACATAATATAGTTATGTGTTTATTTGGAAAAGACTTTTGTTACGGGTTATTTAGGTGGCTAAACTTTCAAAAAGTTGAACCACAGGCCCCGATTATTTTGCCGTAGTTCTGCAAACGCATCATTTGGTTGTGTATCCTGAAAAATTTACTCCTTTGTTGGAAAGAAACTTGAGCTGATTCAAAAGCAAAACTGTCATGCACATAAGTACGTTCATATACATATACGTATAAGAACAACTCATAGCTTGAGATAAAAGAGACCACAGAGTCTGACACTTCTGTTTTATACTTGGATATTTTACTTGAAAAAGACGTTAATGGTAATCTAACAACCAAGTTTTATGATAAACGTGATGACTTTAACTTTTCTGTCGTCAACTTCCCTTACTTATGCAGCAATATAAATTCATCACATGCATACTGAGTGCATATTTCTCAGTTCATTCGATACGCAAGAGCATGCTCTTCGTATAAACAATTTCTAAAATGAGGCAAATTATTGACAAGCAAGTTGAAGAAAAAAGAATATCAGTAGTCTCGTTTATAGTCATCATTTCGTAAGTTCTGTGGTCGATTCAATGACCTTGTCAGCAAAACAATTTATCATTGATATAAATACTGACTGACGTTTTTCATACTAATTGTTAATCCATTATTTATACACTGAATTGACGACGGATTTTTCCGTTATTTCCCGATCATGACAAGGAGCACGCGGCGGGTGTGACCGGTCAGCAGGGGATGCTCAGTGGCACCTGATCCCACCTCTGATGTTTCGGAGGTCCGTGTTTGCTCTGCTCCTATTTCGTATTGTTTTATGGACTTTGATGTTGAATACTCTTTGTTATCTTCATATCCTTCTTGCAACAAAAATATTTCTTTTCTATTTTCTATAGAAAAAAAACATATAAAATATAATTGAATGCAAATATCCATCCCATAATTGTAGCGAAAAATGCTTGATGGCCACAAATAAGAGATTCTGAACCTGCGCTAGGCTCCAGTGGAGGATTTTCCTTATATATTTGAAATGGATCAGAAGAGGAAGTTGTATTGTGAGAAGACCCTTTATTGAATACCAAGAACTTGAACCCTTTGACTTTGACCTTGGAGTTTGACATACTTTAAAAAAAAAAGAAACGATAACTTTTGAAGGGTTAGGGCTAGGGCTTTTATACTTCACATTTGTATTCTTTGTGGCAACAATTTTCATTGAATACCAATTACCTCGGCCTTGGAGATTTCAATACTAGTCTTATGAAAAAAACATTAACTTTTGCCTACTTTCATATTTCACATTTGTATTTCCAGTGAGAATACCCTACTTTGGATACCAATATATTAAATTTGCATATAAGAAAAGTTTTAAAATCTTCGCTATGTTGCCATACGGGGTCATCAGTGTTTCACAAACACATCTTGTTTTGCTTCTGATTTTTTTTCGATAACAGATGCCGTCGTTTTTTACACACTAATGACACACCTGTGTAACCTCGCGATCGTGACCTAGATTCAAAGTTAGTGTGATACTTGTACCAAATAGTGTATCCAATGTACTATCCAGGAAGTTTTTGAAAACTTTACTGCTTTTTTGTAATTCGCTATAAGTGAAATATAAATTGTTTTAATGAATTTGTGTAATTTAATAGCAATCAATAGTATTTTGCTCCATATGAAACCAACGATTGAGATGTTATTTATTATGCCTGTTTAATGGGTCGAAATATTGTGTTTGAAGATTTAATTAATAAAAGGAAAACATATGTTTCTCGATCCATCAGCATTTTTTATTTGCTGTTAGAATATGATGTTTGAAGTTTTAATTAAAAAATAAGGTATCATTTTGAAATATCTATCGGGCTATAAATATGGGTATGTCACGAGATCAAATTCCATAAAGCCTGAAGGGCTTTATGATGAATTTGATCTCGTACCAACCTGTATTTATAGCCCGATAGATGTTTTGAAATGATACCTTATTACTTATATTTACATTTGTGACTTATTCATACTTTATATTTGCCTGATTATGACTTTTAACGCCTGCAATGCTTTATTTTTCAAACCCAACAGCATGTATGTAATCCACTGAACGCGCGTCAACCCTTTATGACGTCACCGGGAAATTATGTCGAATGTTTATCCATACGCACATTTATGGCCTCTTGACCTCGTACCGGTATTTGGTTATAGATACGCATTGCTTTCAGTAGTGTTGTGTAAAGGAAAACATTTGGAAATGTAAATATTTAATAAACAGAAAAAAGAACGTTTCTCGAATGATTTGCATTGTTATCAGATACTACATTTGTATGATGTCAGCAATAAGCAATAAGCAACATTTGTTGAAAGAAGTATGATATTTACAACACCCCTACATTTTGTTCACGATAGAAGAAAGCTTGTCAAAAGTACCATAAATAAAACAAGTCTCAGGTTTAGTAAAAGAATTATATAGCGTATTACTCTTTATTATGGCTGTTAATCTAAAGAGAGGGAGTATGAATTATACACAGAAGGTCTTATTAAGGAAAGGATCCAAAATGAAGTGTGTCAAAACTGCTACAAGCAAATTAAAAGAATTGTGGTTCCCCGCATTCGGTGTCTTTCTTGGTGAGATGTCATTTTTATGGCATATATTGTCAAATATGAGTGCACCATCACATCTCATTCAAAAGTTATCCCCAAAGTTGATTCTTTTTCAAAATTAGTTCAAATATGGACAAGGTCAAGGGGTCAGGATTACATGTATATCATGCTAGGAATTTTCTTGTCACAGGTAATATACATGCCAAATATGATACTATCATCATTTATTAGAAAAAAAGACGTTTTTGAAAAGTAGTTCAAACGTAAAGGTCAAAGTAACAGCGATAAAATCATAGTATATTTACGAGGGCCGTTCAAAAATTACGCGGACTGTGCTATTATTTACTCTTACAGACGTCATATAGTTATAAAAATTTCACAGAAATATGTATCTTAAAGATTCCAATAAATTTTGGGCAAAATTTCTGTATTTTAAAACAATTCTACTAAAATTATCGGTATGTTGATATCGTTGATGGAGAGGTACGGCGCACGACAAAAAAATTGAAGCAAAAGCATGCGGATTCAAGAATTTAATTCATTGATTTTCTAAAATTCGCGATATTTTTCAACAATTTTCTCAAATGTACCTTCAAATTGTTCTATTATTATGTATTTAGATTTCGGACGTAATATTTGAAGTACTAACAGAAATGTAGTGATTTTTCTCTGATGCGATTACCGTGAAAACGACTGTGAAAATGACGTCTCATGAATTGACGGCGCACCACACTTTTGTTAAAATATGTGTAATGCTCGAAATATCGGCAACATAGATCCAAAATATGCATAATAAAACATGTAGTAAATTAGGCTACTTGTGACATTCGCCCACAAATAGCAAATTGAAATTTTAGACAGTTAGACCTTTGTACAAAGGATATACGGGAGGACGGGAAGAAGATTATAGACGAAAAGTTAACTTCATCCGGACTGTAAAGAACGTGATTGAGAGTCACCAATATCACACTATATCTCATAAGTAGTTTTTGTTTTTAAAACAAAAAAAGAATATTCTTTACTTGTTTAATAGATTTTAAGCTTGAAAAGAAATAGTGTTTTGATGTTGAGTAGATAAGGTAACTCAAACTATACAGGTACTCAAGGGAAAATTTTGAGAAAATAAAAGCTCAATCACATATTTTTTTATAATGCTTGTGACGTCGAAGATTTTGCTGCGCCGTGACTTAATGGTATGTCCTGAAAAATCACTCAAAATTAATACCAATTTACAACATTTTGATGTGAAATTTTGAAAACCATTTAAGTAAAGATTCTTTTATATTATTTGTGAAATTTTGCCCGATTATGTCGTCAAATATTTCTTCTGTGCAACAAGTCCGCGTAATTTTTGAACGGCCCTCGTAAAAGGTCTTGTCACATAACATACATGTGAAAGATGAAAACCCTCAATCTTCTTTTTCTCATGTTCAGGTGATACACACGTCTAGTTTTCGAATACAGTCCCCCAGGTCCCAGCTCGGTTTTCTTGCCTCGAGTCCAATCAAAAACTTACGTTGATTTTCGATTCGATAGAGCTGCTCCACCGCTTGGGAATCAGCTTCCAGTAGAACTTCACCAAGTTGACGAATTGGAATTTTTTTTAAAAAGAACTTAAGACTCATCTATTTTTTTTAAAAAAAAAGCCTTTCTTTGAAATGAAATGTGATTAAACATATTGCTTTTACAAGACTTTTCTTCTTTTTTATAGGTGTATAAAATATTGTATTAGTCTTCCTTTTATAATGTAGATTGTTTTATCTATATATGTAAAGCGATTTAGAATCAACTTAAGAATAAGGCGCTATTTGAAATTTTATTTATTTATTTATGTATTTATTTATTTATTTATTTATTTATTTATTTATTTATTTAT